CCCCCACGGCCCGCAGCGCCTGGCCACGCCTACAACGCATGTGGCTCCGCCCACCCTCAGAACTCCACCGCTTTCTTGGCACCTCAGACCCGCAGCTTGCCAGTGTTGGCCCCGCCCGCCGCCCCGGCTGAACCACGCCCTCTCCTGTTCGCGATCCAGTCGCGCGGCGAACCTCAGATTCTCTGCCCAGGGACCGGGACCGCAGAGCTGCGCCAGGGACCCGGTTAGCTTGAAACGCTGCAGAGCCAGCCCGGCCTCTTAAAGGGGCCGGCAGTCTGGGCTGTGGCTTGCTTCCCCCTTTAGGACGCCCCCTCCCCCACGTCGGCGCCACTGCTCTCTTCTCCCCTCAACTCCCCGGGAGACCTCGGCCTAGAAGGTCATGGGGGCTGAGGGACCACAGCATCCGAAGGTGCATCTGCACCCAGCCCCTACTCAGCCTGGGACGGTCTGCATCGATCTTCCCGTGATGGAGCAGCGCTGCCGCCCAGCACGTTCCCCACGCAGCGGACCCGAGGCTGGGCTCCTTGGCTGCTTCACTACCTCGGTTCCCCGTGGTCCAGACATCGGCCTAGGCGCTATGGAGCCAGCCGGTCCCCGGGCCCACGGAGGCGCCGGGCCGCAAGGTGGTGGTTGGGGGTGGGGATTGCGGGAACTGCACAAAGACCCTCCCAGAATGCGATGCCCAGCTCGGCCTCCGCGCCTCTGAGCTGCTGCCACCCACCGGCCCTGACTTCTGTCACCGCGCACTTGGATGTAGGTGACTCAGAGCTAGTGGGCCCTTTCCCATATTCATTCATTCGCTCAAATCTGTTTTCAGGCTCACCACCCTAAAGATCAAGGCTCCTCTTGTGCAAATGTACGAACATCATTTTTTTAAATTTATTAGTGGCGTCCATTATTGAGCGCTTAGTATATCAGGCACCATACTGAGTTGGTATCCCCAGTTTACAGAGGTTACTGGTCCCGAAAGCAGGATGCAATCCCGAGGTGCAGGTTCTAACTCAGCCTTCCTACACTGCCTGCGCCTAGTCCATTACCCCATTGGGTCCTGCCCACAAACCTCCCAGGGGAGGTGGCCCTCACCTTGGAACACCTGTGCCTTGCCTGGAGTGCTCCAGACTCTTCCAGCTGCATTTTTTGAACTGCCACTTAATTTTTATCTTGCTATTAGCTGCTGTGTTTGTTTTTGGGTCTGTGTGTGAGCTTCGGGGCAGGTACCCTGTGTTATGTGTAGGGACCATGCCTTGGTGTTCTCTGTCACAAAGGAGACAGAAAGGCCTGCCCTCGGACCTTGTGGCTATGACGTTAGTCCCTTGTGATTCTAATCCAGTCACAAGAGCAAACCCAAAGTTCCCTCCCCTCCACCCCAGCGCTGCGCTCCCTGCCAGAATGGACTTGCTCTGAGCATGCCTGACAGAAACCTTCTGCTTAAACCGACCCTGCCTGGTCACTGCTGCTGACTGCATGTCCACCCATCTCTGGGTGTTTAACCTAAAGAATTAAAGCCCCCTTTCCTTAAAGCAGGGGTTCATAAAATTCTGAGTGACCCATGACTTTGGGATGGGCAAAAACCAGATGCTCGGTTTTCACTAACCTCTAAGTGGTGCTCAGTTCTTCCTTTGACGATGAACCTGGGCAGCGGGCGGCGAGGAGAACGTGCTCCTGTCACTAAGGCAAAATCACAGATATTCGCATATCACACCGCGGTTACTGTCGATATCTCAAAATATCATTCCAGCTCCCGCAACTCGGAATGGAGTTGTGTATTTTGTGCCTTCCTAAAGAAGTGCATATGTTTCTATATGTTTAGATGATTACAGTTTTAGAAATATTTTAATGATTATGTTTAGTAAAGCTGGTGTCATTGTAATCCTAGTGCATTTTTCATTCGTCTGAGAAGGAACCCACGGGTTTCACTTAGACGACCTGAGGAACAGAGAGCATGTAAGAAGCCACACCTGGGAGTGTCCCCCTTCCAGGAAGGACCACTCTGCCAACAGAGATGGCCTGCAGTTGGGGTGAAGCCCTGTGCTGAGGCCCAGCCCTGTCCGGGGGCTAGAGGCACTCAGGCAGTCCATGAGCATCCATTGGGTTCCTGCTCTGGGCCAGACCCTACCCCAATTCCTGGGGAAACAACTGTGAACAAGGGACAGTCAGGGGCTTCAGGAGGACAGAGAAAGCTGGTGGGGAGACAGGGCAGGGAAGTGGGCCATCTGAGATGTCCACTAAAGAACTGTGATGGCCCCTCGGGACATAGTGCAGGGGAAGGGAGCCTGGCCCAGGCCTGGAGAGGTTGCTCCGAGGAGATGGCTGAGCCTGGAAGATGGAAGGAAATGGAGGAGATGGTACCTTGGAAGGGGTTTTCAACTGAGTGGTAGGAACATGATGTCATAGACCCAACACGATGACCGAATAGTTGTATAGCTTGGTCTTTGTGGGTTAGATGAGACAGGAGGCTGAGCAGGTGGTCTCTCATGTCTTTCCAGCTAGGTGACCATCAGTCCCAATAGGACCCGGACTTAGGGGTTTCTCAGGATGTTGGAATTGCATTACTGAGCAAATCAGAACAAGATGGTCACCTATTGCTGGCTCCAATACATCTGGAGACATCAGAGACCAGAAGCCATGGTCACCAGTGTCAGCCAAGTAGCACAGAGCACAGCAGTCACAATGGGCCCATTGGTGCTCAGAGATGGGTAGGGACTAGCCCAAGGTCACAAAGGTAATGGGTGGCAAAGTCAGGCCTATAACTAGTCCTAATCCCTGTGTAATGCCCAGTCCTACAGCCAGATGGGGATTCACTATCCCACTCTCTCAGCCCTGGGGACACCTTCACACTGACTCCTCTACTCCAGATCCAAAGGAGAAATTAAAGATTGGGTCTCACCGGGTGGGAGATCTTTCCAACAGACAAAGGACCCTTCCTGGATCAGGCAGGGGAGTTCTTGGTAGGGCACTGGTCCAATGTCCTCAAAATCACAGTGATTTAGCTAACACCTTCTGCCCCCCTGCTCCTCCTTGGAGGCAAGAGGGAAGAATGGGAAACGATGGGCTTAGAGGCAAAATTGGCTTGTGACCTGGCAAGCCACTTCATCTGAAGTCCATTTCCTCTTCAGGAGAATGAGCATAATTTCACCCACAGAGTCCTTAAACCTGACATCTCTCTCACGGCTTGTTTAGCCAAGCCTCCAGGAGAATGAACAAATGACTTCGGTTCTCCATACCTTCCTCCCAGCCATTACGCCTAGTAACTGCCCTTCAGCCTGCAGGTCCCAGGCCCATGCACGAAACCTTCCCTGCCTTCTCAAAAACCCAAACCAAACCCTGCCATTGAGTCGATGCCAACCCATAGTGTTCCTATGAGACAGAGTAGAATTGCCCCCTGTGAGTTTCCAAGACTGTAAATCTTTTATTTTTTTATTTTTTTATTTTTTATCATTTTATTGGGGCGCATACAACTCTTATCCCAATACATCCATTGTAAATCTTCATGGGAGTAGAAAACCTCATCTTTCTTCTGCAGAGCAGCTGGTGGTTTCAAACTGCCGACCTTGCTGTTAGCAGCTCAATACATAATCACTATATCACCAAGGTCGCTCCATCCCCAAAACCCCCAAGTCTAGGTTGGGGGCACTTCCTGTAGGTGGCCTCAGCACCATGGCCACCCTGAGATACCCCAGTGACACCCTCTGGCGGTGACTGCCTTTTCACCACCACCACCCCCCGGCCTTCCCTTACTTGATCTCCATCAGAGTCCAGATCTTGAACCAGAGGCTGGCACATAATAGATGCTCAACAAAGATGAGGTGAGACAAATGGAATGAGCCATGCTCATTCAGAACAGAAATGTACGTAAAAGGCAAGCCAGGTGTCCGCTAAATGTGAGCGCTTCAGACTAATTGCAATGTTCTTGTTTTACAACTTTTGGACGTCTATTAACTGTGGACTTGTTTATGACTCATAGCAACCTATAGCACAGAGTGGTCCTGCTCTGTAGGGTTTCCTAGGCTCTAAATCTATATGGAAGCAGGCTGTCTCAGCCTCTCTTGAGAGGGGCTGGTGAGTTCGAACCCTCAACCTTTTGTTTCACAGCTGTGCAACTATTGTGCCCCAGGGATCCTTTTGATAGCCTTTACATATCATCTGACACTCCCACTCCAGTGACTGAGTGAACTTGCCAAGTTACACACCCATCACAAAAGACCTATTTCAGACCATGTCATCTCCCCAGTGGCAGAGATCCTTCATGCCCAGTTAACGTTCATCCCCATGCCCACTCTCTGCCCCAGACCATCTCGCATCTGCTGTCTCTGTAGCTGTCCCTTTTCCAGGCATTCCATGTAAATAGAACCATACATTTGGTGTGACATTCTTGTGCCTGGCATCTT